GTTCAACTAACCAATCATATATTTTTAAATTTATATTCATTTTTAATTTTTTTAACATAGTTTATAATATTAAAATTAACGGGGGGGGGGGGGTATATTATTATTTTTTTTTGTTATTTATTTATGTTATTTTTTTATGATGTTTTTTCTTATCAATTTTTTATTTGTAAGTATATTTTAGAGAATTTTGCATACAAATTTATTTTTTTTTGTGGTAAAATATAGGAATTATTAATTCCGCATATTTAAGTTATATTTAGGAGAATTTTGCATACAAATTTAATTTTTTTTTGTGGTAAAATATTTAAATTATTTTTATAGGAGAATTTTGCCTACAAATTATATTTTTTATTTAATCTACAAATTTTTATTGACCCCACCTTTGAAGTTTAAGTGATTTTTAACCTTTCTAGTGAAGGGTTAAATCGAAATATAGTATTAAATGACGCAATTAAATATAGTATTCAAATTTATACACGACATATAGTATTAAATACTCAATTTTATTCATTGGATAAATATATTATTTATAAAATGAATGAAAATGTCAGAACGATTTAACAATTTACATTTTCTAAAATATCTATATTCAAGAAGATATTCATGAATATTATCGCCATCCCCATGTCTTTTATAGTTTGTTTTTAGACCCCGCCATAGCCTTTCGACTTTTTGGGTGTGGATGGATCTGTCATTAGGATCAACAAAATTTCGAGAATGATTGACCCATTACATACCCCCTCTCTCCCCCATATATAAACGATGCAGAATTAAGAATTTCTATATTTTTTTACCCTAATACAACATTTTGTAGAAAAAATTTTCAAAATATCTTAAATAAAAATTTATAGAAAAAACTTTTTTTAATATCTTAAACAAAAAATTAAATTTGTAGGCAAAATTTTCCTAAAAATCACTTAAACTTCAAACAATCATATGAATGCCCAAGAAAAATGGATGGATTTCCTCTCTAATAAAAATTCACCCTTGATATAGAGAAAATATGCGATTTTATATTTTCTATTCCACATTCAAATGCTTCAACCGAGAGAATATTCAGTTTAATGAATACTGCTTGGAGAAAAGAACGCAATCGATTACATTTATCAGCATTGAAAGCGGAACTTATGGTGAAACAAAAATTTAATTATTCATGTAAAGAGTTCTCAGCCTATCTCCACAGTGCTGATGGGAAATCTTTATTACCTCTTTTAAAATCATCTGTAAAATATAATAATTAATATTATGCGATATTTATAACATGGAAAATTATACATTAGATTAGTAAATCAATAAAGAATTTGAATTTTCATTGACTCAAAAAATTTTTAAATATAACATATTAACATAGATTAGTATGTTATATCAACATCCCCGGCCGAAGGCCCGCAAATTAGGGGGTATGGGGGGCGAAGCCCCCCATTAAAAGAAAAACTCACTTTTTTAAGTGAATAATATCTGGCAACCCTGGGTGGAGTGCCTACTTAATTGTGGGATGTCTCCCCAGTGTATAATAGGATAGGATAGATTCCTCATTTATTTCCGAAATGACAATCGATAATGAAGATGATGACCAAGATCCGTTTCCAATATATGTAGTTTTTATTTTTCCATGAATCCAGTTGCATTGAAGATTTTATGAGAGACAAGTGCTATTATAACTTAGTAGTATTTTCAGATTAAAAATAAAATTTTTTTAATATTTCAGGAATGAATCAGTTTTGACTTTGCTGATAATCATTTTTTTTATATAACAATATAACCTTCCAAAACTCATGCCACCTATTTTACATTATTTTATTGACGAAGAATATTGGTTAACTAAGAAAATATGTAAAAATAGAAAACTTATAAAGTATTTTAAATTAAATTAATTGTAGTTTACCTTCTTTTAGATAATATTTTGTTTGTAATTATAATTCAGATTAATTATATTTGTTATTATTAGTTAAAAATAGGATATTTTGCCACTAATATAAAATTATTTAGGTGGTTAATAAAAATTAATCTATCTGTATATATTTTTTCTTATTTAATTTTTTATTTTATTTTGGAATAATAATATATTAATAAATGATAAAAAGAAAAATTACGCATGATTTATAAAGTTATAGATATTCCTAGAACCATTTCTATATGTAATTCAATTGTAATACAAATAAAAAAGTTTAACATAAATAATGAGTTAAACCATAATTTACAGTTTGGCAATAGGAAAATGGAATGATATTTTCCATGTAATTATAAATATGAATTATGTAACATGGTACCTTCAGAAGATAATTTTAAACACAAGAATTGTAAAATTATAAGAATCAATTCTTATGGATTGTTGGGAATATATGTCATAAAATATTTTTTTTTTATTGAAGCTAGAATAGAATGACAAATAAGAAAAACAGCTGCTTATATTATGATTCCATTATTAGATAAATGCAATTGTATTTATTTTAAGTTTGCACAAAATATTTTATTATTTGCTACTATGATTAAAATATTTTAATGATAATAAATAAGAAATACTGAAATTATATTTGCACAAAATATTTTATTTGTTACTATAATTGAAATATTTTTAGAAATAATAATGGATAAGTTGCTGCTTATATTATGATTCCACCATTACATAAATGAAATTATATAATAAAATATAGAAAAATGTATAATTATATCATATGTACACAAAAGATATGAAAATTTTATATAGGAATTCGAATTTTTACTTTATTATCTTATAAATCAAAATCTATAAGCTAAAGCCAAGCTTTAAATGCTTTTTGTTCAAAAGGTTCATGTTAAGGCCTGACATAGGTAGGGCTAACCTAAGGACAGTATTAGATTATAGGAAATACTTAAATTTAATTAGATAGTAATCCCATATCTGAAAATTTAGCTTAATGTTTGGGAGTTTCAAAATCTTGACTAATTGAAGATTTTCAAATTTGAAAATGCTCACAAGATTACCTTGACAAACCTAAAATCAACCTATTATTTGGGTAATTTTTTAAAAATGAGTAGTAAAGTAAAGTTAATCAAATTGGCAGTATTTTTATTAAACGGGCAGTTGTTAAAACATTTGGTAGATTTTCTAGTTTTATATTGAGGCAGTATTTAAAATTATTTGTCATGTATTTTTAAATATTTGGTCAGTTGATTAATAATTTTTCAATTTTTTTATATACGCTTAAGGAACTATTTTAAAAAAATAAATAAGATCTAGATTTTGGCAACACCCTAATTTTGAAAAAATCTATTTAATTATTCAATGAAATCAATTGATAAATACTGTTCAGATTTATTTGATTACTATGAAGAACCTGGTTCAGATGAGAGCGAGAAATTTACTTTTAGCTGTAACTTAGTTTGTTTTTTTTTAAAATGGGGAGATAACATAAATATTAACAATATTCAATAATATGTTTCAAATTAAAATGTTCGTATTCCTGCCACCTTGCAACAGGCGGACCTTTTTCTCCGGACCCCTCTAACACGAGGGGTATGAATCTTGACTCTCGTCAGAGAGTACTTCAGAAGCCCCCCCCCCACAATTTATTAACATATACATAGTCAGTATTCATTTTATAATAGAATTATCTTGAGCTCATCTGAAAGGGTGTTAGTGACTTAAAAAAAATCCATTACCTTAATTACTTTGATCTGATAAAATTTTGCCCTTTCCTGAGCCTTAATTGCAGAAATAATTCCTTTAAATCAAATTTTCTTGATAGATGCAATGACAATTTTTTAAATATGCCGCCCCGCCAATTTCCTTAATATCGGGTTGTTGATTTAGGTCGTGACTAACACCCTCAGGACATTCGATAACTAGGTTTACCATCCCATGACCGCTGATCCCAATGAGGAATCTTGAATCCTACAAAAAAAACAACTCTCAAAAGTTCCAATTTTTCGAGAATCATCTCCTCACTAGGATAAAAATCGAATTTTTTCCCGTATCTCTTTAATTTAAAATCTATAATATTAGCTAATAATAATTCTATATTACAGTATACCAAGTTAATATAAATCTATTATTAAATAAGAGTCAATTTTTTTTATTAAAAACACAAATAGTCGGCTTAGAATTGGAGTGCCCCATTTGCGCAAATGCTAAATCGACATTAAATTTTAAAATGATTAAATATAGGAAAAATCTTATTTCATCAATTTTGACAGAGCAATAACTTTGGCAAAAATTAATATTTTTTTAATATAAATAAGTTATTATCCACTTCTAACTCAAAAATTTTGAAAATGTTAGGGTGGAGCACACCAATTCTAGACCGACGAAATACTTATATATACTATCTAATCGCTATAATAAATCATAATAAATATTAATACATTGCCTCTACTAAATTATATGAAATTGAACCGTCTAGTAGAAGAAAATGAACAATAATTGCTTAGATAATCGAAATATAATATTTTTTCTAAAAAAAAAAGAAATATAAAAAAATAAACAAAAATTTCAGCTTTTAAATAGCTGTTAGAAATGATATACAAAAAAAAATTTGCAATACGTACTATGGGGAAAGGAAAACGCAAACAAAGAGGGATAAGGAAGCGTTCTAAATAAGCGCTTGCAATTCCTTGCAGAATCTCGAATTGAGTGGGTTTTTTTTGTTTTATAATAAAATGGGATTTGTTTTTAATCCAATCCTCATAAATATAAGGGATTGAGAAACGGGACTTCCTATAACACTAAAGATTCCGGGAACAAAGATGAAAGAATTTAACAGGGACCTAAAGAGTTCCAGGAGGCTAAAGTTCCAATTGGAAGGGAACGAGACAACGCGTGACGCATCCCAGGCGAGCCTTTTACCGCCATGCCAAGACGTTAATGACATTATAATCAATTTTTAAGGCATTTTTTTTTATATTCTATCGCTTTTGTAATTCTTTCAGAATAAATTTAGTTTTTTTTATAGCATATAATGTTACAATGATATCGATATCTTTTTATAATGAATAGAAAGCAAAAAATATATAAAATTTACTCATTTTGCTTCCAGGAATAGATTCGAATTGATGGCAAGCACTAATTTGATCCGTTGATGTATATTCATCATTCTCAAAGATCATTAGATCATCTAAGCTAATCCTACTATGATCCGCTTCAGCGATATCGACACCTTTATTTTCGGACTCTTTCCGGCATTGTGCATCAAAATTATTATCGTTCTGTTTGACAATCATATTCGAAATATTCAAACTGTCGTCACAAGAATTATAATGACAGGACATTTTCAAATTCCTATTTTCTAGACATCGCACGTAGTCGAATTCCCCCAATCGAGGAATATAACAGCCACGTTCTTCTACATTTTTGTTCGTTCTCTTAAGGGATTCAAAGTATTGATTTTGGCTTTCTTTGGCATAGGAATTGAAATCTGAAAACGATCTCGCTCGAAGACCTCTCGTCAAATTAGAATCATTGTAGTAAGGTGTTGGTGGAGGATAACAATTATCGCGATAAATAGGGGAAGAATTATGATTGCCTTCCGCCGTGTTCAGGTAGTTTGGAGCATTCGAAGCAGCGTGATTAGGGCAGGGTATGGTGGAATAATTTGATTCTCCGTGTTTAAAGGTATTGAAGCATAATTTTAGCGGAGCTCTCAATTCCTGCTGAGTCAGATATTCGTTGTTCATTATTCTGGAGCCGTTACTATCAATCGTTTTACAGTATTCAGGAGCTAGGTTCAAAAGGGGCTGGGAGGTGAAAGAGTCGATAGGAAGCGAACTTAGTACAGTGGCGAACGTTACTGATTTCTTGATACCGATGCTGCCTAAATGAACCATATCTTGAAGAGTTTCATAATGCTCATTGCCATTGTTCACAGACCCACATTGTTTAACATTGCCGATATGCGAATATCCTTGGCTCATAAAAGAATCGGCTTTGGGTATACACGCAATCCCAATGTCTTGCTTGGAACCTTCTAATGTTAGCCCCTTACTGCCGTATTTTATTATAGATCTTAAATCAGTGAACGATTTATTTTTAGTACCATGATCCGGTGAATAATTTTTGCTATCACTGTTCATACGAGGAATACAATTCTTTTTAAACTTGTGTTTCGTTAGCATTTTTCCGAGACTCTTCTTGGAAATGTTGAGTGAGGGTTTTTTAACGTCATTCGTCTCGTTTAATGTGCCATCGAAATTTCTACGTAGAGAGGTTAACTGTAAATCGGCTAATTGAGTGACGACTGTTAGGTCATTGAGACTTTTATTATGACTGCGCATGTGTAGATGATTACTATTGGGCACCAGGTCTTGAGCCAGTATCACCTCGGGGGATTCTATGGATCTGTTAAAATTGCTTGGTATACACCCAAATGAGCTGTCGGGCGAACAGATTTTAGGGATTTTCTGATTGTGAGATATGTTCAATGATTGCATCGATTTGAATAAGGTTTTACTTATGTTTAGACGACCGCTTTTGATCGATTTATCTGGTATATAAAATTTTAAATGTTAAGAAATAACAATAAATGTTTTTATACTTCGAGTGTAAAAGATGGGCTAAGAAAAATGAATTAAAAGCCAAGTTTATTTAACTTTTTTTAAAATGGAAAAACACATGGTAAAAAAAAAAATCTTTTTTTTTCGTATCTCAATATTACAATTGGTTTTTTTTTGTTTACCATATCAAGTAGTATGAGAAACAATGTATCATTTCCTTATGATCCACTCAAGAAAAATTAATATATTGGACGAAATAATGGCCATCATCAACTATGACCAATAATTGTATAAGTGGAATAAATGGAGTATAATATTTTTTTTCAAATATTAATACTTGTGTTAAATGTATTTTGCCCCCTCCCGCTCATCTAAGTTGAAGAGCAGATGGGAGAAAGGCAGGCTGGCAACTCAAAACTAATTTATTTGGGAATATAACAAGAACGTAAGGTATTAGATGGCATCTTTTTATTATATAAAAATCATTAAATTTTAAATTCGTTACATTATAAGATAGCAGGGTCATCCCTCCTATGGCTTAGTTAGGCGTTGCGTAAGGCGACAAAAAATGGCGACAATAAGATAATTATATTTTTTTTTAAAAAAAAGAACAAATTAAATTGGTATCCTAAAATGCCACGACACGAAACATGTGCTAGGTCTAAAGGCAATTCTTACCATCGAATATTTTGGATACGGTTACTGATGATAGCAAGTCTCATAGTAAGCTAAAATCTCTTAGCTAAAGCAAACGATCCTCCTAGAAAAGCAGAATGGAATGTTGAGTGTGTTACAGAAATGAAAATTCTTAGATTGATGTTAGGTAAATCAAGGAAGGGAGCCTGCAAAAAATTGAAGCCTTGAATATTGAAAAATGAAATATCCAGGCTAGAGGTCGCATCTAATCGTTGATACTAATAAAAATGGAAGGATGCAATTAGAATCGGGAAGCTCAGATGAATGACCGAATAGCATGAAAGACAAGAATTAAAATGGTTGTGGGGGGGGGGATAAGAAACTTAACTAAGAAGAGTATTTTTATTAACTCTAACCGATTTTACTCTTAATTTTTCACGGGAGGGGGCTAGTGAGGGGGGGGGACAAAATATGTTATAATACTTTGATGAAGCGTGTCATCGCCGACATTGACGGATTTCGTATTGACAGGGTTGGCGTAGATCAAAATCAAAGGGTAACTATTATTGTCCAAGCAACTTTTTATGACGTCGGACCATTCTTCACCTATCTTTTCAATTTGTTTTAGTTAAATTCATTTTTAAAAAAATCTTTTTTTTTATTAATTCATATATATGTATCGAATCACGTGACATCCACCTGTTATTCGTTTATACGAGTATCTGCGACTCATTTTCTATTAAAATCCGGCAAATTAATTTGTTCATTTTTTCCTCCAGCGGTAAAAAAAAATAAAATTGGAATTCACCGACTTTGTAATATAACGATTAAGAGAGTATATGATCACAGAAAAAAAAATAAAAAATATTTGTATCCGAAAGGTTTAATATATATGGGAGGAAATAGATGAGTAATTATTTTTGGATATCGGGGTCAGGGCCAGGCTAGTATTTTATTGGCGATGCCATATGGTTATCCTGGCTCGACCCTGCAGAACTCAGATGGATTTCGCGGCAAAAATTTATGATCTAGATCACTGATTAAATTTTTTAAAAAACAATCTATCCAAATAAGTTACGGAGGCAATGTGACACATTTTTTTTTCAACATTTAATCATTTTTTTAAGCGCATTTTTATTTGTTTGGAATACCTATATCCTAGGAATATCGGACAATTTAGCCATGAACATTTAAACCTAATATATATTTATATTGGTTTGTTTTTTTTCATAAATTTTTTATAATAAATATAAATGACTCAAAAGTAATCTGCAAAATTGTCTACAATTCCTAAGTAAGAGGTATTCTGAGCATGCTTGGAATACATTTTGGTAAATCAAAATCTGATTTAAAGTTGAAAAAAAAATAACACATCGATGCTAACATATATAATACATAATAGCATCTTGCCTCGTTATTATTTCAAACTTTTAACGCGTTAACGTATTAAGTTGTAAAACATATTCTAAACTCAAATGTATATCATTTTAAATTTGGTAACGTTATGCCCTATTTTAGGCACACATTATAAAATGAAACGAATATTCAACTCGGTTCGAATAATTCGAATGGAATAGTAACACTATTCGTTATTTTCGAATACGAATAAAGATTTTTTCGGCAAATCTTTCGAATACTTTGACCGAATATTTGAATTATTTGGAATAATTATTAATATGCTTTTTAAAAAATAAAATTAAACATTTGTTCTTTCTTTCCCTTTCTATTTTCTCTTTATATATATATATATATATAAATTCCTTGTGAAATGCTTTTCTTAGCTAGAACTAATTCTTTGCCTAAAACAAAAAAAATTGACTTAGCTTTCAAAATAATTAAATATGCATTTCAATTTCGGTAATAACCCGATCGCGTGTTCCGTGTCATTATATATGTCGTAAGCCTTACGAATAACGAATAGTAAACTATTCGATTCGTTTTATGAACTATATTTGTATTCATTTTTAATAAGACTACTTTATATAGATGGGTAAAATACTTAGTATTGAATATAATCATCCATTTTTTAAAAGAAGAAATGGGTAATGGATGAGGCTTTTTATATGCCTAGTAGAAGAAGAAAAAAATCAAATTAACTATTTAAACAATATATATATATATTTACCTCTTGTATAGTTAGATCGTCGAAAGATATCCAGATTTTTAGGTTAGAGTGGTAAAAATACGTTATATACCTATAGATTTCATATCGAAACGTGACTAATCCTCTAAGATCAAAGGTTGCCTTTTTAATCCTGCTGTCTTGAATCTTGTTGAATAACTATTATTAAAGAAGTTTAGAATATGTAATATAAAATTAGCAGAATTGTTAAAGGATCTAGATACAAGTACCTAGATCTTGTATCTATATATATATAAATGTGGTATCTGTATCTAGATAGATTTTTGATTAAAATATCTGTATCTAGATATTATCTTAGACGATGTATCTGTATCTAGATCCATACAAAATGTATCATTTAACTACTCTGAAAATTATATATGAGTAGGGAAGAACGGGGTTAGACCACGCGACTTGGCAAGTCATTTGATCTCGTTTTTTAAATTAAAAAAATACACTAAGATATTTCAATTTTCTCATAAATATAGAACGCGAACCCGGGTTCAAGAATATGAAATTTCATTTAATATCGAAACCAATTTCCTACGAAGAGACCGAACCTGCCCCAGGTCTATATTACCCCGGATTTAATGAGTTGTCCCCCAACCAAACGATTTTAAATTTCCTGAACCCGGGTTGAGGTTCACATCTCTGGATCTAAGCAGTGCGCATCTCTATATGCATAAAAGATATTTTAAGGTAAAAAATTTTGTATGAGAAATTAATTTTGCTGTCATATTATTAAAACTTGGTTTATTTTGATGCTACTTCCAATAGCGTATATAATTTGGTGTAGTTGAGATAATGAGTAAGAATTTCCCCATTGCAAACCTATAAACAGAACATCGGGAGAGTTCAAGAGTTCCATATGTTTGATTTTACACTTTGAATTTTTTTAAAAAAAAAATTAAATTAAATATAATATAATTTATACTGTTATAGTGCACAACATCGTGATTTAGAATAAAATGTACCTGTTGGCATTTCATTATCGTTTCTAAAGAATTCGGAAGATATCAGACACCTAGATTTCTCAAATAGAGTTCTAGCGGAGGTTCGGGGGTTTAAGAGTGATAATTATACTGGGGGGAATTTTATTATTTTGTTTATATCCGAACAAAATAGTATTTACCCTCTTTCCCATCCTCCATAAGCTCCTATAAACCCGGTATCTTCTTAGATAATATTTTTTGGGAATGCCTCCCTAAACGTTTTCATCTTTCCAATTTAATGTGGCATGCTTATCAATCACATTCCATTCCCGCTTCCAGTCTATTTTTCTAAGATTTCTACCGCATCTTGGCGCGTATTGGTGATAACCTACCTCTCGCAAAACCAGGTTAACTTTTTGCCTTTGAAATAGAAAGCCAAGGCTACAGTCGTTATAGCATATATTTTAGTCATTTACTTAAATATACATATTTATATCTACAAATTCTTTTGTATTAAAATTTGATTAGCATCCTTTTTAGTTTTACTACAAAAAAAATAAATTCGGAATACAGATTTTATATTAAATTGTATACACAAGTAAGAATTCTAACAACAAGGGTGGTTGTTTTTTAAAAAATGAATCCATTTTTACCAAGGTAAAACGTTTCAGGTATTAGTGATGATAAAAAGATTAGGGTCTGCATCCCTATTACGATTATAACTATAATAACCAGAGTTGTTAAAGGATCTAGATATAAAAATGTGATATCTGTATCTATATAGATTTTTTATTAAAATATCTGTATCTAGATATTATTTTAGACGATGTATCTGTATCTAGATCCATTTAAAAAGTATCTTTTAACAACTCTGATAATAACATTAAGTAAGCCTAAAGATCTTGCTAATAGCTGGCAGAAATGCAAATCTACTCGCAAAAACATGATGCTTGTATGATATTTATTTTAGCTAAAATCTTAACCGGGTCTTTTTGAAAAATTGACCCCAAATGGGACTTTTTTAACAACACTAATTAGATAGTAGAGTACAATTTTATTATCGCAAACCTTTTTGGGAGTAGTTTTATTAAACATTTTCTTTATCCCATAAAATTTCGAATAAAGGAATAATCGGAAAATTTTTTAAGAGAGCTTCAGCATATTCTAGTACATTATAAGTTAGAAGGTTTTTTTTTTTTATTTTGTCTCACACTTTTGGTTATGGATATAAAAGTTAATTATATTAGGAAAATAATAAAATAAAAATTTTTACTTCCGAATCCCAGCCAACACCCGAGGTCCCGATAACTTTCGACATTGAATGGCATTCCGACACAATTTTTCCGTTACATTTGTTAATATGGTCCAGGTAATCTTCCATAGGGACCCGCTTGGCGTTGAAGTTCATCCTATTGATTTTCTTGGCCAATTCGCCGGTTTTAGTCAAATATTCGGAAACCGTGATGGTCAAAGAAGACGTAGCGTTGCATAAAAATTTGGTCCGGCTTAAATCGTCATTTTCGTTACAAACTTGCAAATGTTTAGTTGGGTCGTATTGAAGTTTTATTAGCATGCGGTTATTGATGAAGCAATCGGCGGCTCCTTTTTGGCAAGTAGTGGCGGTACATTCGTCGTGTCCGAGTAAATGGCCGTGTAACTTTTTAGTAATGTGCTCCTTTAACAAGTCCATTACGATATTACAAGAAAAGAAATAAATTAAGATATTTCTGGTGGTACCATGATTGCTAAAATATCCTCCAGCCCCCCCCCCCCCTCAAGCAACTGACCCTGAAACTCCTTTCCCCGTAAAAATTTAAACGCTATAGTAGATTCGTCCCTTCCCGTCCCGCTTCGCGTTAGAGACCTTTGGATTGTTAAACATTCTATAAATCACTTTAAATTCTTAGCGGAGCGATCGCGATCGCAATTTGACAGCTGACAGTATTTTTTTTAAACAAAAAATCTGTTTATGAGAGATCACTTTTCTTTATTAAAATTAATCTATATCAGAGACCTGCAAAAGTACCATGGCCCGGCCCGGATTCTTTTTTAGCCGGCCCAGCCCGGTTTTTAGCTCGGCCCAGCCCCGGTTTTTTAGCTCGGCCCAGCCCCGGTTTTTTTAGCTCGGCCCAGCCCCGGTTTTTTTTTGAAAAAAAATTTCAGGCCCGGCCCGGATTTTTTTTATTTCTTTTTGATTTTTATAGCTAATAATGACGATTTCGAACGTTTGGGTCCGGTTTTTAAAAAAAAAATTCAGACCCGATCTTGGCTCGGGCATATTTATATAAAAAAAAATTACCAGCGACGGGCTAGGCCGAGCCTTCAGGTCTCTGATATATATATAATCTCCGTAATCAAGAAATGAACGTTTTCGTATAATCTTAATGTTAAATAAATCGAGGGAGTCTATATACCTCTAATGTTAAATTTTAAGAAACTTTTTTTATATACATAAACTAGATTCCATCCCCCATTAACGTTCCATATGCAAACGTTCTCTCCTACTCAAACCCCCTTAAAGAAATAAAGAAAGAAAGAGAGAAAGAAAGAAAGAAAGAAAGAGAGAAAGAAAGAAAGAAAGAAAGAAAGAAAGAAAGAAAGAAAGAAAGAAAGAAAGAAAGAAAGAAAGAAAGAAAGAAAGAAAGAAAGAAAGAAAGAAAGAAAGAAAGAAAGAAAGAAAGAAAGAAATCTTTAAATGTTGTAAATACAATTCTTCTTATACACGAAACTATATTTTTGATTAAGTAATTTAAAATTTATTTTTTATAAATTAACTTAATTTAATTATATCTTCTATATTCATTTTATTTTTTGTGCTTTTATTGGTTTTAAATTTATTATTTTATTTCTATAATTAATTTGCGGAATAATTAAAATAAACAACTTTTAAATTTTAATCTACCATAAATATCTCACTCCAGCAAAACTACCGCAATTGGAAATCTCCCGCTAAAATCTACCGCAATTTTTTAATTTCTCTTATTAAACCCATTAAATTGCTAATGATTAAATTGGAAATCCTAAAAAATATATTCCTGAGATTTGCTTGCCCCCCCCCTCGAGTAAAATTTTTTTTTTTCTTTATAAAAATTAAATAAGTTTTGATTTAATTTTTTTGTAAGTATTTTTCCCACATTATACTTCAAAATGGTCAAATAACCAAAATTAACTACCTTTGACCATCTCTATTGTGGCCCTTAGTCAAGTTTTTAGCCTAAAAAAAAATTGAATTTCTCAACTTGAAGATCGATTAGAATATTTTTGAAAATAAAAAATACATGGCTACGCTTGTTTTATAGTTGAGTAAAAGTTAGGTAATCTAACAATAATACTACAAGCAGAGTTGTTAAAGATACTTTTTAAATGGATCTAGATACAGATACATCGTCTAAAATAATATCTAGATACAGATACCACATTTTTATATGTAGATACAGGATCTAGATACCTAGATCCTTTAAGAACTCTGACTACAAGTAATAATTTACAAATGGTTAAAAAATTAAAATATCATTGTAACTAATTAATATATTTTTTAGTAATTCATATCAATTTTTATATTAAAATAAAATATTTAAATCTATTCCTTCTTTGTTATTTGAATTTATCGGAAATTTAAATGATCAAATAACTATAAACCAAAAGTAATCATAGAATTCTACGAATAATAAAAAGATATTATTATATTTAAATTATATATAGCCAATTTAAAAAAAAAAAAATTTAAATAAATATTTAATATATTTTTGACATATTTTTAACTTATTTTTAACATATTTTTTAACGCAAGATGGCGCTAAATGTACCAAGTATTTTTTTTAAAAAAAAATTGATTTCTGACCGGATAAAAAATAATGGGCAGTAAACCCAGTTATTATCAACCTTTTTAGATTGTTTCGATAGTGCCAACTTTCTTCGATCCACAAGGCAAAAAGTAAAAAAAATTTTAAGCAACTTTGGTTTGGACCAAGGATGTGAACCCGATCTCTGGTTCAAGAACGAACCCGCCCCAGGTCCATATAACCCCGGGATAAATGAGTTGTCCTTATAACGGTCTATGTTTGGGTCTGTGGTTTTAAAATGCCCGATCAAACAATTTTAAATGTCTAAACCCAGCGTCGGGTTCACATCCCTTGTTTGGACCGATTAAAAAAAATTATTAGGTGATAACGAAGATCCATAATTAATGAAGATCCATAATTAACGAGGATTCATATTTATTCATAATTATATTTATCAGAAAATTTCATATTTATAAAAATAGCTGAATCTTCTCCATTCTTTGTTCTTCCCAGCTGACATCTTCTCCCAATAATCCAATATCTTCACTCCAAATCTCCAACAAAGGACTTTTTCTTAACAACAACCCATGTGATGATCACGTTTTCCTTCCATCCACCAGGAAAACTAAAATCCCCTGTCAGAAAATAACTGACATTTGATGTATTAGATTAAATTTATTTCTTCTTTTTTCAACAGCTACAACAGGTGATAGGTCGAGTTTTTTTTAAAAAAAAGCACCTTTGGGACTAATTTGAAATGAGAGTTACAATTCTCGCGACTCCACGCTGGAAAAATAGGAGAAAATTCTGGAAAATGACTAATTTGAGGTGTTTGTTAAACGGCTCGTTTTGAATCGATTTTAGAAAACGGCTGACTCAATATTTTAGCTAGAAAAACTATTGCCTAAGCCCGGAGATTTCGATCCTATATGTCAGAACCTTTGTTCCTTCTGCGAGCAAAATCTTCAGGGTTGCGTAATAATTTATTTGGATGAAATATTGAGTCAGCTGTTTTTAAAAATCGACTCAAAACGAGCCGTTTGACAATACTATTAATTTGTTTTTTTTTAAAAAAAAATTCTAGAAATCCAATATATATTCCAAAATCTTTTTTAAAAAATTCGAAAAGTTTTATAACTTTCATAAGTTTCAAAATTTTAATGAAAACGCATGATAAATTTTTGAAATTTTCTAGAATTATATTTTTGGAGATTTTAATAAATTATTTTACTTTAAATAATAGAAAAAATAATTAACAAATGTTTTTTTATTTGGGAATTTTTTTTTCCCTCGTGATGTATTTATTTTTTGAAAACCATAGTTGATGTTAGAAAATAGACGAATTTTTGCAGAATTCATTTATCCTAACACTGTTATAAACATTGATTATAAAATAAAATATTATCCTTTTTTTTTGTTGTTGATCATAATAGAGCAATTTTTAAGGCTTGCTTTATATTCTCTCCCCCCCCCCTCCTGAATTTTTGGGTCTAGAATTAGCAGAGCTGTTAAAAGATACTTTTTAAATGGATCTAGATACAGATACATCGTCTAAAATAATATCTAGATACCGATATTTTAATCAAAAATCTATCCAGATACAGATACCACATTTTTATATCTAGATACAGTACAGGATCTAGATACAGATCCTTTAACAACTCTGAGAATTAGTGATCTGCATCGGGCCTAATTTTTCAAGCCCGGCCCGAATAATAAAAAACGTATGTTATATGGCGCCAAATTTCTAATAAATAAAATCAAATATTCTTTATTTTACACAAAAAAATTCAATATATAATCGATAAATTTAGATATATTTTAAAAAAATTTATAAGACCCAACCCAGCCCGTACCCCCAAAAATAGGCCCGGCTCGAATTTTTTTAAAAAATATTAGGTCCGAGACCGGCCCGGACTTACTTTTGTAGATCTCTATCCAGTATCAAAATAAACAAAAATTGATCTCGTAAACAAATTCCGATAACCCGTCAGCTGTTCGCCATTATGAAATCAAGGTCAGGTCAGGTGTTAACCATTATGAATTCAAGGTCAGGGATCACAACAACAAATTAGTTTCAATATTATTCTTATATTTACTTCCTAAAAAAAATTATTTCATTTAGTTAAGGGGGGGGGAGGGGAGCTAGTCTTTCTTAATTTTGCTTTCCTTGCGGGATTCTAAAGTGCAATAAACAAATTTAATAAACTTATTACGCCAAAGATAATTGGTGACCAATTATGGTCGTATGTATTAATATTGCGCAAGCAAAAAATTATAAAATGTAAAAACAGCGAATATAGGTATACTCGCGAATTCACATCATATATAATCATCAATTGATTGACATATTTTTAAATTAACAATGACATTTTTATACCTATAAAAACCGTCAATCACGACACTAGGAAATAATATAGTCCCGCATTTAGAAAAAAAAAATTTTTTAATGAAATGTTACTTTAAGTTTGCTAGCATTTTTATATATCGTCATTATTTTTTTCCCGGCAAAATGTTATTTTTTTTATAACTTAAAAATTATTTTTTTAGCGCCTTTTTAAAAAAAAAAAAATTTAAACCGGAAATATATTTCCATCATGTTTGGAATATCTATCTCATGAATTTGTGGCCAACCTTTGAATCATTTATGAATTATATTAAAGATGTATAGAAAAACTAATATAAATTAAATTAAGTTTTTAAAAAAATTCACGGAAAAACTTGTCTGAAAATTCATGGAGTAGGCATTCCAAACCATGATGATATAAATACATTTCCGGTAAAATCAGACTTTCAAATTTTTTAAAAAAAATGCTCAAAAATTTGCATCAAAGTTCTTTCTTTCTTTCTTTCTTTCTTTCTTTCTTTCTTTATATATATTTTTTAAATAAGTGGATAAACTCACTAAGCAAAGGAGCGCGTTGAGTAGGATGTAGGAATTGTGTTCCTTGCCATAGGCCTGATAAAATTCGGGACAGCTGAAATTCAGGTTTTTGAAAGATAGCGATAACGCCAGGGAGTCCAACGATTCGCTCTTTTGGAAACGATTGAAAACGTATTTCATTGAGCAAAACATGCAAACGTCATCAAGATCGCCCGCGCAAATGTGAGTGTCAATCTCCCTGAAATTTCTTCTGAAGGTGTCCAGGTGCCATAATATCTAATTATTTTGGGGTCATTTAAGATATTTCAAATCATTAAAATATAACCAAAAATACTTTAGGGAATTGTTTAGGGATTTAAGTTGAGATTTCTCACCCGATAATTATGCGCAAAAACTTAAAGCCCATCATTTCTGGGGGCAAAGAAAAAACTTCACTCACTTTGTCAATCATATATATTTCGTACACTTTCGATTAATATAAACATAAGTTGAACAAACCTAATAAAAAAATTTCAATTTAGAGATGGTAAACAGGTTTAAAAAAAAAATTGTAGTTTCTAAAATCGGCTGACTATCTCGGCTCGCGTCTCAGGAAAAGTATGAACTTATGTCTCGTGACTGTTGGCCAATAAAAATAGACGACTTAACCTCGAAGATGAACCGATGTCCCTAGTGGAGTGATTTAACAAGTGTAGATATGCACATTTATGCTAATTCAAAAAAACAATTTAACCTGTATAGAAGTGAGCAAAAATGGGTGAATATTCGATATATCCGCGTCGCCGCCTCCTCCTTCTTCCGGGCAGTATCCAGATTCGTCGGCGTACGAGTTACATTGGTTCATTTTCCCGCCTCGTATCGATTTAAAGTCAAACTCATAATTCACGTCCTATCATTATTATAAATAAAAATCATGTCATTACACAATTAAGAAAGACAAATGACATAATTAATTAAAAAAAAACTTTTTTTTTATAGTGGAATGAAAAATGATTCACCAAAAAAATAAATAATTTGAAAAAATATATATATTTCAATTAACAAAAATTTGAAACTTTTGGAAAAAAAATTAAATTTTTCTAACACCATAAAATAATGTAAGATGATGATGAAGAAAAACGTTTAATTTATTATGAGACTTGTTATATATTATAACTTTTTTCCTATATTTTTGTTTAATGATAAAAAATAGGCGAGGTTAAATTTTCTAATATATATATAATTTTATATTATAATATATATGTTTTTTACTCTATTAATTAAAAAAAGTATGTACAATTTTTCATAATTAAGTCTTCCTAATATGCTTAGGTAATTCATTCATCTACAGAGAAGAGAGAGAAGAGAAGAGAAAGAGAAGAGAAGAGAAGAGAGAAGAGAAGAGAAGAGAAGAGAAGAGAAGAGAAAGAGAAGAGAAGAGAAGAGAGAGAAGAGAAGAGAAGAGAGAGAGAAGAGAAGAGAAGAGAAGAGAAGAAGAAAGAGAAGAGAAGAGAAAGAGAAAGAGTTCCTCGGAGACCTAACTAAGGGTAAACCGGGCCTGAAAAACAATATGACTTAAAAATCCGGGCCGGGTTTGACCCGGGTCGATTTTTAATTAATGGGAAAATGTTATCCGGTCATCGACAAAAATCCGGGGTATCTACTATCCTGTTTGTTCAATCCAAGCCATTACATCTTTAACATCATATATATAATAGCAACTAGAGTGTTGCTAAACAGTTTTATAAACGGTTTAGCTCAATATTTTATCCAGATATTTTTCCCATAGATGATCACAAATGTTTGGACATCTATTTAACGAGATTTCGAGGCTCTAAGCAATATTTTTTTTTTCCTTGCTAAAATATTGATTTAACCTTTTTTTAAAGAAAATTAGTCTCAAAAATTGAACCATTCAATAAAACATATGAAAGAAGAAAAGGAGAAAATTTATGTTCATGGTAGGAATGGGTTGAACTTTCAGATTTAGCCGGAAGTGCCATTTGAAGCGATCCAGTTAAATACTACTCAGTAAGAAATGCAAATTTAAAATAAATTTTTGATTATGGCCAGCACAGCAGGGGTGTCGTCTCCGAAATTTTAGTCCGGTCCTAATCAGGTCTTAAAACAGCTGGGATAAAAAAATGTGGAAAAGTATACAAGGGACTTGAGATTGATCCTAAATTTATTTCCTTCAATTCTAATAAGGTTTCTTTTTATGAAAAAAAATTTACTTCCGCCCCCCCCTCCGAAAAATTTTATTCGGATGTCATTGCCCGAAAGTCTACGCCGACCGACTCCGCGTTCCGAATAGTTTATGTAACATTCTTATACGTTTAAAATTAAATCTTTTTACTATTTATTCTGGAATCTTCCCCGCGAGGATTAGGAAATCCTACCAATTTTAAATTCATTTTACTGAGCGCCATTTTTAAAAACCGGAAAATTCCAGCATATGCACCGCAAGTTTCGGGCAATTTTATCCCTAATATTTATAGGGTACTAAATGTCAACGCGACGCGGAAGCGACTCGGCATAGATTTTTCTATCGGGTATTTAAAAAAAAATTTAAAAACGATATAATTACCCAATCATCAGCTTCAAAAAAAATATTTTCAAAACTCCCGCCAGATTTAGCCCGCGTATATATACTATATATGTCGTAAGAGGATTCGGAATCTCTCAATTTTTAAATCATTTACTAAGAGCGATACTTTTGGGTTTTAAAAATCATACAGGACCGTAATTCTAGCATGTGTAGAGTATTTACCCTATAAATTTGAGCTATAGACATTTTAGTATTTTTTGTAATTCATATGACAAATCCATATAAAAATTAGTATAAATAGAAAGAAGTAGTTCTAAAGTTCCTGGCAAAATTGTTTGAAATCTACAATTTGGGTGACTCTATTACATGCTGAAATACAATTCCTGTAAAATCAGATGTTTAAAATCCAAAGATCGCCCTTTAGTAAATGATTTATTCGAATTCTCCTTACGACATATATAGTATAATATACACGGTCTAAATCTGGCGGGAGTTTTGAAAAATATTTTACGGTAAAATTTAAGAATTTTTTTTTTTCAAATTTAAAAAATAGCGCCAAAGGAAGTTATTTAAAAAAAAATTGAGAAATTCAGAATTCCTCTAAAGGAAGGATTCCAGAGAATTAATCAGAAAGAAAGAAGGAAGAAAGAAAGAAAGAAAGAAAGAAAGAAAGAAAGAAAGAAAGAAAGAAAGAAAGAAAGAAAGAAAGAAAGAAAGAAAGAAAGAAAGAAAGAAAGAAAGAAAGAAAGAAAGAAAGAAAGAAAGAAAGAAAGAAAGAAAGAAAGAAAGAAAGAAAGAAAGAACGGATTATTAAATACCTTATTTTATCATTGTTCTTCGGTATATATCTTAAAAATAAAAAGTTTGATTGTCATTGCTTTATAATAAAATAACATAATGTATAGCAGTAACACATCATGAAAAATAAAGGTATGAGGTTTATTATTTATTATTGTTTATTGTAATTTTTTTTTGGCAAAGAAGATAATACGAGAAAATCTTTTTTTTTGAATTTCTTTGATTTTTCTAGATTTGATATGATTATAAAACCTATTATATTCTACGACTTTTGTCATTTTTTTCCCGTCAAAACCGTCTTTGATGATAAAAATAAAATTTGATTCTTTTTCTTCTTCTTATTCTTCTTTTAAAATAAATAACTGTGCGGTGTCTCATTATTAAGTCGAATATTAAAGGCATAAACAACGGTTCCATTGTAATGTGAACTCTCTAAGATATAATTATTGAAATTTTACCTTAATTTTTAAATTATCATATATTTTATTCGAATTTAAGAGAGTATCGCCTCTGATGGCGAACCGGGCCGGGTCGGGCCCGAAAATATAAAACCCGATCCGAGCCGGGCCGTAAAAAATCGGGTCGGGCCAAATGGTACCCGTACAGGTCTCTCTTATTTCTTTTTTCTTATTTTTAATCTTTATAACTTAAACTTAACATCAATTTTTGCGATAATCAACGAATATTCTTTTTATTTTATACAATTTCCTTTTTCGATTGTAATAATAATAAATCAAAAAATGGCTCTTTCGAAAGTTAATACATCCAGAGGGATGTGAGAACCCGGGTTTGGTTGGGCATTTTGAAACCTCAGAACAAACAGAGACGGATTATAAGGACAACTCAATAAACCCTGGGTAAAATGGACCAGGGGCAGGTTCGGACCCCTCATAGGAATTCGGTTTCGACTATATTCCCGTTATCAAAATTTCTGTTATTTGAAATTTTATATTCTTGAACCCGGGTTCAGGTTTACCACATCCCCGGTTTTAAGAAATAAATTATTTACATTATGAGGAATACAAACATAGAGGTTCGTATTTTTCAGAGTTGTTATGTATCTAGATATAAAAATGTGATATCTGTATCTGTATCTAGATGGATTTTTTATTAAAATATCTGTATCTATATATTATTTTATACTATGTATCTGTATCTATATCCATTTAAAAAGTATCTTTTAACAACTCTGGTATTTTTAAACAAATATTTGACTTAAATTATTTTTATATGTCATGCCATTAAGGCATTCCTAAATAAATTATTTACATTATGAGGAATACAAACATAGAGGTTCGTATTTTTCAGAGTTGTTATGTATCTAGATATAAAAATGTGATATCTGTATCTAGATCAGAGGATTTTTATTAAAATATCTGTATCTATATATTATTTTAGACTATGTATCTGTATCTAGATCCATTTAAAAAGTATCTTTTAACAACTCTGGTATTTTTAAACAAATATTTGACTTAAATTATTTTTATATGTCATGCCATTAAGGCATTCCTATTCAATTTAGTGTAAATTATAATGTTTTCAGCAGGGATGCTAACCCGGCAAAATTTTAGCCCGGGTTCCGGTCGGGTTCGGTTTAAAGTAAAAAAAATAGCGGGTCGGGTTCGGTTGGAATCTCTGGTTTTCAAGTGGGTAAAGTGTGTGCGTATGATTAAAATTAACCTTAAAATTAAATTCATTTTCGTCGCATTCCGCGAATGATGAGTGTGAGCGGGCCCCTAGTTTACGGCCCTAAAAAAATTATCATCCTCGGGTTTTTTTTCTTTGTAAGAATATATATAGCTCGATTTTGAATAAAGCGGAAATAAATGTAAATCGCGCGTCAAACACTTAAACGGATTTTCTTAAGAGCTATGAAGGCTAATAAGCCCTTCTCTATCAAAATTGGCAGGAATATATTGGACTTTCAGATTTTCCGGAAGTGTCATTTGAAGGGATCCATTTAATTTGGGATAATGTTTACCGCTTAGATTTTAAGAAATGAGAATTTAAAATAATTTTTGATTGATATGACGCCAGCAAGAAGGCTGTCGTCTCCGAAAATTTAGTCCGGTCCTAACCGGGTCTTAAAACAGCTGAGTAGTCAAAGAACTGATTAAAATTGCCAGAAATCTGAAGTCGTGGATTGTTTTGAAAAATATTTTTAATTTACTTACACATAGAATTGACTATAAAAATGAAGAAAAATAAATAAATATAGGCATAAGAGGCCAGCAAATTGTTTCTAGTAAATTTTGTGGTGGAAAATTCGGTGTTTTAATGAGAAAATTCATAAAAACCAATATTTTTTATTTATAATTTTTACGCTTTCCAAACGTAAATACAAAACCAATCAATAGTATTTTGTTTTTTGAAGCGATAATTTACATAGCATTTAACGCCATCTAACGGTCACAATCTTATCAAATTTTGATAATTGTAAATAAACTTTTAGAACATATAAATCAATCTGTCTTTTTGTTACTTTTCTCGTGAATATCGAATAAACGAAATAGTTTTCAACTGAATATTTGATACTTACAATCATACTATGAAAAGTTATATCG